AAAGCATCAAATTCATTCGAAAAATACTCTCCACCACGGTCGGACCTAAGCCTCTTGATTTTTTGATCAAGTTGGTTTTCCACTTCAGCTTTATAGATCTTGAAAAAGTTCAAAGCCTCATCCTTAGATTTCAGAAGATACACACAACAGTATCTAGTGGAGTCGTTAATTAACGCCATGAAATATTTCTTTCCACCTTTTGTCAAAACACCATTCATTTCACATAGATCTGAATCTATGAGCTCTAGTGGTGCAAGATTTCCTGTTTCCACAGTCATGTGAGACTTACGAGGTTGCTTAGCTTGCACACAAACTTGACACTTAGATCCCTTGGCAGTGGTGAAACTAGGGATTAAGTTCAACTTTGCTAGTCGCGACATGCAACAAAAGTTAACATGAAAAAGACGTGAATGCCACACATTTGATTCACTATTGTTGCAAACATGACTAACAACTTTATTGCAAACGTCTGATAAGGATAAACGAAACAGGCCTCCTGACTCATAGCCTTTACTAACAAAGGTTCCATACTTGGATATTACAAATTTATTCCATCAAAGACAAGCTTATAGCCATATCTACACAGAAGAGATCCGCTAACAAGATTTTTATTGATGGAGGGGACATAATGCACGTTCTTCAGCCGCACGATCTTCCCCGAAGTAAACTTCAGATCGACCGTGCCAACACCTCCCTTTTATAGGCGCAAGAGAAGGAGGCGAGAGGCTGTGCTGGGAGCTGAAGAGAACGAGGGAGACGAAACAAAAATGTAGCAGGTGAAGAGGTGCGCCGTTCGTATTCAATTTCCACTACAACAAAACGTTTCAGCTTCCGCGTGACCTTTCATATACCCGTCACGCGTGGCAAAAATTTAGACATTGGCTCGGCTCATTCCCGCAACCCGCGTCGTGTCGTGGCGAGGCGAGGCGTGGTGTGGCGTGGCGTGGCGATAAGGAGAGCGGCGGAGGAGGAGCGCGTGTGGGTGTCCCTCTTGTTTTCATCCTCATACATGTGGAGAAAGAGCCTCCCTTATAAAGAGGCCACACTCCCTCTAATAAACTAGCAATGTAGGACTAAACTTTAGTTCCACCTCTTGCCTTGCACGAATGGGCTGCGTGGGCCTCTAGGATTTATTAGGAATTTCCGAAACTGCTATTGGGCTAGGCCTAAAATAGACAAAATTCCAGCATCTTGCTTTGTCCTATCGTCTTCCCTTCCTCATTCCGATCCACAATGTCGAGCGCTGGCAGCCACTCCAGCTTCGACCTCGACTTCGACGAGGAGCTGGCCCTCCGCATTGCCTTGAAGCGGTCCAAGGTGGACATCGGGGGTAGCTTTGGATCTGCGGCGTCGCTGCAGCTACCGCGCCAGCGCAACACGGACGCCGGAGCTCCGACGACGGTGACGACAATGGTTCCACCTCCTCGGAGGACGGACAGGATCCTCCACTAGCCGCGGACGCCTATAGCTGCGCCGGCGACCAGAAGGGCAAAGGCCCAGCGAGGAAGTCGTAGAAGCTCCCTCTTATTTTTATTATAGTTTTTTAGTTGTTGAACTTGTTCGGTGATGAACTGTGGTGATCTTTTGGATGATGTAAAGTGGGTTTATGTGCATTTTGTTGTCCATTTGATGTCGATTTCTTTGTTTGTTGTTTGATCACGTAGAGTAGTTCATCATGTTGCATGCATAGTATGGATATAGGATGCCGGATATGAGGTACACGGATGTGAAGAAGAAAATTTGAGACGTGACTAGTCAGTGCCAGCGGACGTGTCTGGACGCGTCTGCGGGAGTTTGAGGGGTCAGATTTTCTATCGGCGGCTGTAGATGCTCTGAGAGGTCCATTCCACAACCCGCACCCGCGGGCCATAGGTCATTGAACCAGAATCCACCATCTCTCTCTCCCCTGGCTCTCTCCTCCAAATCAGAGGAACCATGCGGGACCACGCATCCCCTGCGTCTCTCTCCCTGGCTCTCCTCTTCTCTGGAATCTCTCTCCCCTCGCAGCCGCCAGTCCTCTCCTCTCGCCTCTCTCTCTCTCTCTCCCTCTCTCTCTCTCTGCTTCATCTCTCACGGCGGCTGGGGACGGCGGCTACCTCATCTCCTATGCTCCCTCTCTGACACGCGGCTATCTCATCTGCCGGAAGGGCGACGATGACGTGCGGGGGTGTTGGAGGGGCGGCAACCAAGCCTATTGAAGGGCGGCATACTAAAACCCTCTTTTCATCCCTCCTTTCATATTTCCCATCTCAATTGTTTTTCGTTTATGGATCTAGTACATTGCCACACCAGGTCTTGGTTGATATGTTGTCGCTACTCTGGAAAAATGCGTCAACTCAGATTTTTACGCATGAGATTCAAGTACATATTGTTGTTGGGTGTTTTAGACTCTGCACCCTTCACCACAAACCATAAGCCCAACCTTCATAAGCGTTCTTAAGAGATGTTCATGGTAGACAAAATTGGTTATTTTACCTCATTTGCTGCTGGAATCTCAAGAAGATCTTTAATTATATTTGTTGAAACTATTTCAGTATGCATATCTTGATTGTTGGAGTCATTGTTAGTTTATTGTGTACTATCAGTGCCACTCAGTCTGTTTAAGGAGTATTAGTCTCGCAGTGGCTTCATTTTCTTGTTTTCATTATTCGGGAGATTGTTCAATAAAGACCTGGCTTTAATCTCTTAAAGCTCAATTCGGACCACTTTCATTATATAAAACTATAAATCTGAGATGTACTAGTGAGTATGTTGTTCAGTTTGAGCTAATCATTCTGGTATCTGCCCTGCATCTCTTTACTAGCAGAATGTGAAATGTCTGTCATGAACCACTTGCAAATTCTACCATTATATAAATTGTAAATCTGAGATGTAGTGAGCATGCTCGTTCTTGTGTGTGTTCTTAGGCCATACTGGAGATGCTAATTTCCAAACACCCAGGCTATCTTATATGTTGTTGATTCAAGTGATACTAATTGATGACATTGATATTGATGCAATGCATTGAAAAAATTACACTGGACACCACGAAGCCTTTTGCCTCCCTCATCAGTGTAGATAGGTCAATGACCATCATCATCACTTGGATTCAAACTGCACGGACTTCCGGTGACACATTTAGCTCGGCGACCATGACTGAAAAGCAATGTTTTTCTACGCTGTCAATTTTACATTTGAGGTATGAAAATTTTATTCTTATTTCTTCTTAGGCCTCCATTTATCAGTGCTACATCCGCGCGACAATTGATTTTTTGTGTGGGAGCGGGCAGTCTTTGTACAAGGTAATGAAGATTGTATCATCCTTTTACTATTTCCTTGGCCCCACATGCAATTTGACCTTAATGTTTTCACTTGAACTGCAGGAGTGCATGTTGGACTCTGTGGCAAAGAGCTACGACGCCTTCACAACATCTCAGCCAATGGCGGAGCTAGCCGAGTATGGCTTGGGGGAAG